CTGTGCAACGCTTTGTACCAGAATTATCATTTTAGTGTAATTTAAATGGGACAAATGATAGAATACAATTTTAACATTTCATCTACAGTAACGCTAATTCTGTTTTAAACTAACTGACCAGATTGCGCTTTTTTTATTTTGTTAAATTAGTTGTCAATCATTTGCTTAAAATCTATTGCAAGAAAATATCATTAAAAAAAGTGTTTGTCCTAAAAAAACAATATATGTATCACTTTGTTTTCTTAAAGTGACACTAAACTCAGAAGGTAAATCTTACAAATCCATTGAAGTACCCTAACTGTTAATAAAAATGTATCTTATTTGTGTATCACTCCACTGTAGATCCTCAAATCATCTCTGAATTGGTGCTGACACTGTCCTTCCTTCTGCAGGGTAGCTACTTTTGTTCCCCACGGTCCCTGTGCGTGTTGTGAAGTAGCCACCGCTCCAAGCTTGCTACTGTGATGGATGAAAACCTCAGGTTTAGTTTACTAATTTGTATTGAGATCGTAGTCCACCATAGCTTGGAGTGGTGACTACTTTACAGCACACATGTTATAGCCCAGTTGTTATTCATTGGCCGGGACCTGCTAGACTATAGCTGGTGCCGGCCAATAGGAAACAGTTGGGAAGAGCCAGCTCCGCCCAATTGTTGTGGTTTTTTTTTTTACTCTTTTTAAAAAAAACTCTTTTCAATGATTTTCTATTCTGCTCGATACCGAGCAGAATAGCCAAGCCAAATGCCACCAAACATGCAGAGCTTGTTTGGCTGACCGAGGTGCAGCCAATGTAAGGCTGATTTCAGCCGATGTACGGCTCAAATCAGCCGTACTGAGCCGGAGCAAATAGCCAAACGTTGTTCGGCTCACTTCACTTCGGCTGGGTTATTCACTCGGCTGCCTTCAGCAGCTTTGTGAATAACTCCCTTAGTGTTCAGTGTAGCAAATATTTGGCACACCATCAATAGTTTATTGGGCCCATAGAGTAGTAAGATGTGCCCACTATTAAGATGGTACCAATGGTAATTCTACCTTTCACCTCTTTTTTTTATGCCTGTTTTGAAAAAATTGTTAAGGATAAATCCACTAGAATAAATTAAACCTGTGGTGTTTGTAAGGCTAGGAAGGCAGATCATGTTCTTGCTATAGTTAAAGGTTCAGTATATTTGAAAGTATGACATTTTGCCCCACCTCCCACACTATAAGACCTATATGGGAGCAGTAGTTGGCTATAGGAGCAGTAGTTGGCTATAGGAGCACTAGTTGGTAATAGCAAGATATTAGCTGCTTAGAGAAGGGGGAAGTAAAATTTTTCTCCCTGGTACATTATTCTCTTTCCAAGGTTACCAGTAGTGACACCTGGGTTTGGTTTGAACCCAGTACGTCTGAGTTTGCCCAAGCCTGCCTAAAACTTTGATCTCCACCCATCCTCCCAACCCATTCAGTTGCAGGGAGGAGCATTCGCTCCAGCTATGCGCCCTGCAGCTATATGTCACATAACATCGGGGGATGTCCCCTCCTCTGCTACCACTGACTGAGTTGGGAGGGAGTGGCGGTCAGAGTATCGAGCGGGCTATGGTGAACTTAGGCAAACTGGGTTCACACTAAGCCCAACTTCATCTCTTGTTACCAGTGGTGCCTGCCACTCCTAAATCACCCCTTAACCTAATCTCCTAATGATATCTTGGTAATATTTAAAGCAGCATGGCTCAAGTAGTACTTAAAGGTAATCTGTCAGGATAGAAATATGGGAGACGCTATTGCTGATTTGGAGGTACAGTATATGCTCACCTTTCCTTCTTTAGTGTGGAACCACTGAGTTGGAACATGCATCTGCATATCAGTTGTCCCACAAAGTACTGGAGCACAGATGAGAATGATAGTCGTGGACCATGCCTTCTCAAAAACAAGCCAGCAGTGGCAGCCCCCACATTTCTGTCCTGACAGGATGCTTTTAAATGGTAATTGCACTTCATATCATCATGTTTTAAAACTATACAAATGTGCTATAACTGCCACATATTTGTTATTGATAGCTGTAGCCTTGAATCCATCTAGCATGAGCCATTCTAAAGCTTTAAAAGTTTATTTCTAGTGTGTGAAAGACAACAATGGGCTCAATGAGTTTAACAACAGTTACAGTGAGTGATAGCATGAAAATGTGCAGAATGTGACATATATTTATGTTTTTAACTGTCAAGCGGTTCAAAAGGTATGGGAAAAGTCTACTGGTAAAACATAAAACCATTTTATACAGCACCCTTCACAGATACACTAACCTTGAGCTAAGCACAGCATTTTCTGTCCTCCTCTATTACAGTATTATGCCCAATACTGCCCATCTGCAAGGGCAGGCCAAAATAGCCCAGGGGCAGGCTTTAAGTGCTGCATGCAGCCCCCCAGCCACCAGTTGATCATGTCATGTTATTGATGTTGGGATATATAGCCATTGCTTTGTGCATGGCTTGCAGTGCCCAGACTTCAGGACGCCTTCCTATGCAGTGTAAGTGGAATAGACAGATCCAGATAGGTCTTTATGTTGATGCATGTACCTCTTAATTAGATCTGAATGCTTTCATTATCTCAATTTATGAAGGTGAAGGTTAATAGACCCATATATCAAATCTTTCCATAAAGCATTATATAGTCTGATGAACATCATTGATCACCCTTATCATTTTCAATGTACCGTTTTGATTTTGACTGTTATTGCATTTTTATTGGCAGCCAGAGCACAAGCTGTCTGTTGAATAAGAAAAGTACCTGTCTGAAGTGTAAAAGCACTTTGGATCTTAAGTAAAAAAGAACAGGGAAGTAGCTATAATAATCTTTGTATATATCTTTGAGCAAACAATTTGAACCCAAGTTTCAAACTCCATATGCCTTCTGTTTCAAGAGGGTCTTGATCTCTCTGTCTTAAAAAATTCAGCAGGAGGAATGAGATGATGGCTGGAGTATGTGTATCATACACAGCTGAATAGCACTTAAAGGGATGCACTAACTTTGAATGACGTTATATTTGGTAGTTTTTATTTTATAATATATTTTTTAAGGGTCACTGCTGACTTAGCATAGAAATCAGGTTATATCCTTCAGTCTTCTATAGCTGAGAGCATTTAGCTGAGAGCATTTCTCTGTTACTATTACCTTCATTTTATTACAGTGTCCATTTTCATGTAATTTGAAATTCTCATCTTTCTAAAAATAAATGATATTGGCATTAAAATATTGCATTTGGTGGAATGCTACATATAAGAACATAATCAGAAAGCTCAGCTCTGCTGACTTTGTGACTGCCTCTAATGGAAAATCTATTCATCTGCATTAAGCAGCAGATGGAGAGGAGGTATCCTTGCTATATCTCATCAGGTGTGCGTATGTGTGTGTTGAAAATAGTTGTAAATAGTAGGGGGTCAAATTAAAGGCTATTTACATCATTGTAATAAATTAATCTTCAGACCCGTTGAAGAACAGGCTCTAGTCCATTATCTGCAGGCTGTTTATATATATTTCATATTTACCCAACAAAAATGATTCTATTTAATTTAGTGATTTAGTTAAATGTTATTTGGTTTTAGTCATTTACATAAAAATGTAACTAAGTGGTAGGTATGCATGATAATACAGCATATTATTGTATATAGTCAACTAATATGACTAAATCGTGGCCTGGTTTCGGGATGCGGATGAAATTCGTTAGCGGTAGTCTGTACGAATTGTTGTTTCGTTTTCCTTTCGTTACTTCGTTGCTTCA